ATAATAATATTTCTTATTGTTATTAGTTTTGAAATGTTTCGGAAATATTTTGAATTTCAGATATATGTTAAATTAAATCGTGTTACATAATCTAAATTAAAAAAATAATAATAATTTCCTGGCACCTTACCTCATATAAGTAAATGACAATGGAAGTTTAACAAAAATTATTATTACGATGAATATTATATCGGATTAGGATATAATAATTATATACCCGTAATTTCCTTGATTATTGTTATAGACATTTTAAATGTAAATAAAAATTCTATATTTATTTTATATATATATGAAATTTGTTGGTTTAATAATAAAAGGTTGATAGAACTTATTATTTAAAAAGTGAAAAAATGAGTTACTTAATTAAACACCAATTACAATTATAAGAAATATTATATTTTACTTTGATGTTGCCGAGCATTTAATACTTTTCCTATTAATAATGAACTCGTATAAGATAAAAAAAATACCATAATCGATGTAATACATTAAAATAATAAATTTGTTTTGATATGGTAATATGTTCAACAGGATTCTTAGAGAACTCCAATACAAAATAATTAAAACATAACAGTTAAATACTTCTAATGAAATATTATTTTAACTTGAAATATCTTGTATCTACTAATAAATAGTTGCGTTCACGTACCTTATACAATTAGCTCCTGATAATTAACCTATACGTAATATGTAAGACTAACGATACTGCATTTACTTTTGAAATTATGGTGTTGTGAATTTCGTTCTATCACTTAAAACTATTAAAAAAAACGGTAGCACAGTGGGGTGGCGGCACAGTGGGGTCGTGGCATAGTTGGATCCAGTATAGATGATATCTGACAGTGATTAAAATCACTATCATAAAAAACGCTTCGATGCAAATCTATAGATAGTGTTTAATTTAAAAAAAAAATTTGTTAAAATAGCATATTTTTGAATACGGTAGCCATTTCCGTATAAATGATAGGTCGTCGGGACAAATTTTTTTTTTTATTTTATAGTACATAAAATAAGCTTTAATTTGATATATGTTTAAAGGACGCAGTATTTCCGGAACATTTTCAAAAATTAAGTTGAAAAAGTTATTTTTTGTAAAAAAATTACTATTTTAAATCCCCTCAGTGAGCAGAATAAGTGTTAGATTTTCAAAAAAAATTATATCAAATGAAAGGGAAATATCTAAGGTTTCAATACAAAAAAATATTATTTTTATTTGTTCATTTTTGAAAAAGTTATGGCAGTTTTAAGTACAAAAAACATCCCGATAAAAGGTAATTTTTATCGCAAACATTACATTTTTTTTTAAATTTTCGGCAGCCATTTGCTCATAGAAGATAAGATGTCGGGACAATTTTTTTTTTCATTTGATTGTATATAACATAACCTTTGATTTGATATATGTTTAAAGGACGCAGTATTTCCGGAACATTTTCAAAAGTTCAGTTGAAAAAGATCTATGTTTTTTACAATATTTCAAGTTTTGAACGCCCCCTATATAAGGGAAATTGTCCAATTTTAATAAAAAGTATGTCAATTGAAAGATGTACTTATAATGTATTTATAAAAAAAAAATT